AAAAATTTTCCCCCCCCCCCCCCCTAGAAGACGAATCAAATCCGCCACTGCATCTAACCAAACTATGGCTTGACGTAACACCTAAAACAATTTAATCAATTAATTTTCTCCAGTAGTAAATCTAGGGAGTGGGACTAAAAGGACATTTCCCTTACACTTGCTTTATACTTTTGCCAGCACCTTACCAAAAAAAAAATAATTAAGAACTGTATCCACCACTGATTCTGAAATACTAATTTTGTTGTTGAAATAGACAATAAATTTATATTTGTTAAGTAATTTATCTAAATAATGAACATTATAAAATATTTGCATGCAACATTAATTACAACTCTTAAAACAAAGAATAATTATATAATATTTATTTATAATGTGTGCGTAATCAGAGACAAATCAACAAGTACCAAATTGAACTATAGAATTATGTTTATTTAGCAGAAAATATAGTAATATTATAATAGTATGTCCCCCAAGACTAGTTATTAATTACACCATGTAGATATTCAAACAGTAAAGTTAATACACAAACATTCTCAATTTTCATTCAACACATAAAAAACCTGTATATCTTTATTATTTTTTCTGATTCCTTCTAATGGGTATTTTCTATTTAGAGCATCGAAAATATCGTTCATTATATATGTAAACTTGACAGTTTCTTCCGAGTCTTTGAAACTTTCATAATGTTTTTGTTTATAAAATTCAATACCTATTGCTAATGATCTACTAAAAACCTAAACTCCATAAAGCACAAAAGAAAGCAATGATTGTTAAATATTATTATATTAGAAATAAATTTAATTTACTTGAATTAAAAGATACATTACTTGTGCAGCATATTTTACTTTCATTTTAGAGAAATTATTTAAATCAAAATGTTCCTTTGTCAATCGTGGACACACTTTAGTTAAAGAGTTACATTCAATATTGAACACTTTACAGTAAAATTCCCATTTAACAGAAGGCATTGAAGGATTAATCTACAAAAGTGAAAATAAAAGTTGTTTCTATTTATTATTTTTTGTAGTTTGTTTATCTATCTGAAATTGTTTATTTGTATACAACCGGTTTCGTACTGTCTTCAACATATGAGGAGCATCTGAAAACACAAATATATTTCGGGATGGATCGTATGGATTTTCAAAATAGTTTTTGAAAACACTTTTCTTTGCTGAAATCTTTATAATTAGATATAATTAGTTGAATTTGTTTAGGTGCATATTTTATTGTTATTACTCCCAATGAATTCCACATTGTCCTATTGGTAGAAGCACCATCAGCAGTTAATCCTATTACTTTTCCTCCTGAATCTTCAATTAATAAAATTGCTTTTACAACTAACTTGGCTAGATCAACTCCTATGTAATCATAAAATATATATTAAATAATTATCTTTAATCAAATAATATAGAGTTTATCTATAATACCTTTTATTGGACCATGTAGTATATACAATATACTATATACCGAAGTAGCAATGGGTTGGGTAAAATTTTCACCAAAACTCTGCCACATAAAAACTAATGCATTATTAGCTTTTAAGTTGCTTTTTTGTTTTGTTTCTATTTCTTCTCCACAATCTTCAAGCCCAGTATAAGTTAGTGTTCTACTATTGACACTAATGCTTTCTCTCAAGCTTATTTCATCCAGTAGAATTATGCCATTTCTCTGGAACTTGTTTTTATTCAACATATATTTTTTTAAAAGTTTAAAAAAATTAGGATCAAAGCCACGCCCAATTTTTAATACTAGCAAGTATTTTCTGATTGTGCTAATGCAAGGTAACGGAAGAATATTTTGTTCACGTAAAAACTTATACCCACTCGGCGATCTAAAATTAATACCATAACAAAATTACAAACCAATATTTTTAATATACCTATAACTTATCTTACCTTATTTGAAATAGCAAGCAAAGTAATATCCAATTTTCACTATACTTTCTATTTTTTGGGTTAGTAAGTTTAAAAGCCTTAAATATTTCATTAATTACATCAGTTTGACCTTTAGGAATATTATTATTTTCCAAAACTTGACTCAAATTAGCATCTGATACTTTTTTCATTTGTACTCTTATGTCATTTAATCGGTTATATAGTTTATTTATTCTAATAGTTGCTCTAATGTAATTTTTTTTAATTGCATCTTTGACTTTTTGTATTTTCAAAATATATTTTTTTTTTTTTTGGTGAAAAGTACACTCTTGAATTACTTTTGTTTTTTTTATTTTTTATACAATACCGAAGCCGTTTACACCATATACATTCATCACTACAATATTTTATTTAAATTGAAATTTTCTTTTAAATTATAATAATTTTTCTTAAAGATATTATCATTACTCACCATTCATTTGTACTATTATATAATATAATTGTTCGGTTACGATATCGCCATTGGCCATAAGATTCAACAAACTGGGGTCCAAATTTTGATTTAATTCCAGCATACTTTTGAATTAATGCAGAGCCATTGCAAAATTTTAATTTGTCAAATAACATTATAATGTTTTTCAAATCTTCAACATTCTCAAGTTTAAAATTAGATAATAAGCCTATTTCTTCAATGTTTATTACCATACCATACACGTGTATGATTAAACTACAATCTATTCATAATATTTTTAAATTATCAATATTTAATTAATTAATTTGAAACACAATAATAAAATAGTTAACACACACCTTCAGTTAAAATAATTTGTTTTTTAACAACCCTTGAAAAATCATATCTACATGGACCCAATTGGTGAAACCCTACAAATGGTTTATTTAGATCCTTATGTTCATGGTCAATATCAATAAACCATTTTGGTGGCAAACTTATCATATTTATTGACGTTAAAACATGCTTAAATACATTTGTAGGTCCATCAGCAAAAAAACTATTATTAGAAGTAGTATATATTTGTATGTTCACAGTTCGTTATTCCACGGTAATTTTTTTTGTTCAAGCCGGAATGTTCCGCTCGGACGACTCAGAATTACCGTATCACACAATACGGTGATTTCACACTCCGTGTCAACCTATTTACCCCTCACACGAAAATATTTACCGTGTACACAAAACTATATTTTTTTATCCACGTTGGTTACACTGTTTTTTTAAATTTGATAAGCAATTTATTAATTACGAAATAATTTGTTTTTTTATATCTGATTTTTTTTAAGTTACTCGTTTTTTTTTTATTATTCAGTAATAAATGATTCGTTGTTTGGTGAAGTTGTAACAATCTGACTACGCTCGTTTGATGGTGTTGAGAATGAATGAACAAGAGTTTGGTTTTTCTTTATAAATTGAATACTTTTATTTTGATTAATATAAAAACAATAAATTTACTTAGTCCAAAATGACTATATTAATAATGAAGACTAGCGAGATGTGACTGTCATATCCTAGCTCCTAGCTTGTTGTTGGTGTTGGTCCGTCTGCCGAAGCCTATTCGAGCGACGTATTTATAATGGTGATCCTTGGATAGTATCCCTGCCTATTATCCTACTACTTTACCATATAAGGTCATACCGTGGGCGGCCACGCGCTGCACACGCTAGATGTCCCTTGCTTATCTGGTCGTTGTCATCTCTATTGAGGCAACACAACACTTTTAATGTGAACTATTTTAATAATATTCNAACATATACGTTTCGAGGTCACGCGCAATAGATGCGTCGTAGGCCTCCTTCAGCATATCGTGTTCTTTCTGTATATTTAGAACTACTGGAGGGATTTACTGGAATGATTATTTATAATATGTAAAACATAGTCACAGCTCGCTACACCTCCCTACTAAAAAAAAGGTTTTGTAGGGCTACTTTTTGTAGAACTACAAAATCTTAAAAATTATTGTTTACATAAAGGTTAATAATTTGTCTTTATAGTGACAATTACATGAATAAGTATATATATGTTGACTAACTTAGTTGACTAGAACATTCATATTTCGTTGACTAGATCAGTTAAGTCAAAGGATTAATGATTACAATATTATTACTTTAGATACATTTAAAATATTTGATTAGTTATTATAAAATTTGTGTTAGTTACAACAAATTGTTTTCATTAGATACAATAAAAATAATCTTATTCTTAATTGGTTAGTTAACATAATAATTTATAAGTAATAAGTATACATACATTTTTTTTTTTTTTTATAATTTTTATTATAATAATAATAATAAACAATCCAATAATACATTTTAAACTTAAACTAAACATTTCTAAACTTTAAACTTTGCAATATAAGTTATGTCTCAGTTATGTCCAGTATATTGTAATAGCACATGGTATTTATAATTTATTTTTTAATCGTTTGTATATCCACACCACTCGACAACTTACAGTGTATGTACATAAGCAAAACGATGTCAAACAATTTATCGATAATAATATAATAAATCTAAGGCATTGGGTATTTTATTTATATACCTGGCTAAATCCATACAAATTGGGTTTGTTAATTCCCGATCTATGACCATGTCAATTAAAAATCTTTTTATATTTGTCATTATTTCTTGAATCTCTGTATTCTCATATGGCATTAAGATAGAATTATTTGCAGTTATTATATGTATTTCTAAACACTCTGTAAAATTAAACCATTCCCCTTGTTCTGGATTTATATGTATTTGTGTTGCTAAATTTATATTAATTTCTTGCAACAATTGATTTGCTCTATCCATGTTTATTGTATCCTATAAGATAAATGTTATTTTTATTTTTTAAATTTAATTAACTATTTTTTTATTATTTTTTTCTTATTATGATGTATCATTGTTTAAAATGTTGAGCCAAATTCTCATATTTATATTGCCTTATCACATAGTCAAATATACACTTCGTATAAATGACGTCTGTGCGAGGATCATGAGCATGTGTTAATTTATGCTTTTTATGACATATTTTATGGTGGGTTTCCTCCAGGTTCATTAATCTTCCCCTTTTGTCAAAATATCCTATCTCTAACTCAAATAATACCTGTTTGGTCTCTAATTTTTCTAACATTATCGTAAAATTTTTATTAAAATTTTTATCATAACAAGTTATATTTAATATCGGAAATTGAACTATACCTAACCTTTTTAAAATATTTTTATCTGAACTTCCATTCCATACTACTATCACATTAATTTTATTGTCCCTTAATATATAATTGGTTATATAGTTTACATTTAAACTATTAACTTCTGCTCTTAAACTTTTTTCTAATTGGTCCAAACAAGCGTCTCTCAATTCCGTTTTACAACAGAAAATGCGTTTAATCTCCCTTTGTGCTACCAGAAGTTCTTGGTCTCTCATACGTCTGACCTCTTCATTCACTGGTAGATACAACGGTCGATCCTCTAATTTTCTGATTTTAGTGATGATGATAGTGATGATGATAGTGATGCTGATATTATTGCTGTAAGTTTTAATTTATAAACATGAGTTTATTTTATTTGATTGTTTTAAAGTGGAAAATAATTTCAAATTGTTTAATACTTCGGTTCTTATTGATCTGAAATGAAAAAAAAAAATTAAATTAGGTCCACATTAAAAAAAAAAAACAATTATTTCACATTAACTGAAGTATATAGCCATATAGGTACAGGAAAATTTAGCCCTAAGACAAATAGTTTTAACTCATCTAAGGTAATACATTTTATTTACTATAAATAAAATATGTGTTTTTCTAAAATAATATTTTTTTGTAATTATATCATTATAATACTTATTATTGGTATTACAGTACAAGTAGAAGTTGTAACTCAAATAACTAACAAATATTAGTATTACTATAATAATATAATAGTTCTGATATTTTTACTATTATAATTTTTGTATAAACAATTATTATTTATTATATTAGTAGGGAAAATACAAAAAATAAACTATTCTTATTCTGTAATTTATGTTGTTTACATAGTGTGGAGTTCAAAAACATGAGTTTGGGTTGAGTGATGACTCCCTTATTATAGATTTTTTTGAAGCATTCATGTCAGAATTTATCCTTGGAAAAGTGGCTTTTGAAACCAATCTGTATGCAGAGCAATATTTAAAACAAGAAGATATAGCCCCAAAATCTAGAGTGAAATATTGGAAGCCAACAAATATTGGAGAACTTTATGTGTTTTTAGCTACAAGTATGCTTATGGCTCGTAACAAAAAGCTAGAAATAAATGAATATTGGTCAACAGATCCACTTCTAATGTCACCCATTTTCAGTAAAATTTTGAGCAGAGATAGGTACTTACTAATTTTACGTATGTTACACTTTTGTAATAATGAAAACCAAAAATCTGGAGATAGACTTTTTAAATTAGATGTGGTATTGGATGAAATCCGTGCCAATTTCAAGGCTGGTATGGTACCATTTCAAAATTTAGTTATTGATGAAAGTTTAGTGTTGTGGAAAGTGAGATTAAGTTTTAAGCAGTTTATAAAATCTAAAAGGCATCGCTTTGGTGTAAAACTGTTCGTATTATGCGATGTTGAAACCGATTTTATTTCAGATATTATAATTTATACTGGTGCTGAAACTTGTCTATTACAATGTGATAAGAACATAGGAATATCTAGGGCAGTTGTTATGACTTAAATGGCACCATATCTAAAAAAAGGACACAACTTGTACACAGATAACTGGTACACCTCACCTATTTTATGCCAACATCTATACAAAAAAAAAACAACATTAACTGGGACTGTCAGAAAAAACAGAAGAGGGATGCCTGATTTAAAAAAAAAATTAAAACTAGGTGAAGTTCAGAGTAGTCACACACAAACAATGATGGCACTGAAGTGGTTGGATAGAAGAGAAGTCTATATGTTATCGTCATTATATGATTCTAGTTCAGCTAGCACAAACAAAATAGACAGAGCTAGTGGTAAAGTTGTAAAAAAACCTACATGTATTGTAAATTATAATGCATGTATGGGAAATATTGATAAATGTGATATGCTGCTTAGTTCTATTGAATGTGTACGAAAAACCATGAAGTGGTATAAAAAAATATTCTTTCATTTAGTTGATTTATGTCTTCTAAATTGTTTTTCGGCATATAAAACCAGTGGCGGACTGGGGAGGATCCGGCCCAGTGGGAAAGTAGAATTAGTGGCCCGACATTTCCCCCATGGGCGTTCG